GAGGGGGGGGGGAACAGGTTATAGGAACAAAACGCAATCAATTCGGTAGGCTACCTGGGTTGATTGCCGGCACTCACCCTTCAGTTTGAAACTCGAGTGTGAAGGGAAAAGTATCCAAGGCGGCTAAAGAATATGACGAAGGAAATAAGAAAGCAAACAAGCAAAAGAAGAGGGCAATAAAGGTAAAGAATATTCTGTATTGAATTCATTACAGTCTTAATAGGGAATCGATGTATTAGTTTTACGGGTATTTTATTCAATCATTGGCTGGTTCCTTTCGAGTATACCTGTCAAAGGTATGGTGATAAATTTAAATCATCTTATTACTCTTTTTCGCAAGATTGAATTCTAATGCATCGGCATAGGATACCGCGTTGCCTAAGTTTCGAAATCGTTCAAGAACCGCACATCGGCAATCTTCCGTGAGCTGCTCATTAAGAAGCTTCGCAAAGAGCCTGCCACCCTCCCGCATATCAGAAAAATCTTCGACTGCGAACTTTTTGACGATTTGCGCAACCCCTTCTCGCTCATGCGCCGCTAAATGCTCTAGGAAAATCACTAAGTATCCACTTTCGGGCTCCTTTTTGGCATGTTCGTCAGATTCCGTGAATTTTTCCCTAATGTAACTTTTTTTCAAAAAATCCCTTTCACTTTCCTCATGGGCCCACCCAACGTTAAGGATATATGGCATAATATCGCTATGATGTTTATTTACCACATTGCCCTTGAGCATATCATAGCATCTATCGCTGCTTTGCGATTCTGAAAAGGAAATAAGAGTTATAATGTTATCATCCGTGAGGATGTAGGCTGAGGAGAGGCTGATTTTGCCAAACGCATCTAATTTTTGCACGAGAGTATTGGGACGCAAGCTGGGTTGATGTAGGATCGCCAATCTATGAGTTTCACTAAGATGAACCTTTAGCTTTTGCATTTTACTAATAAAAAGAAAAAAAAGAAAAGAATAGCAGCTAATCAAATGTCCCCACCCCTGTCTCAAAAATAACTAAATAAATTAGCACATAAATACTGTCTAAGTAATTCGGATAATCGATAGGATTGGGATCTCAATCATACCATTTGGTTCTTTATCCCTTTGGAAATACGTAAAGAGAGCATTTTTTATTAATGAAAAATACAATATAAAAATTAAAGTGTGAATCTAACGAATAAGTGAAAACATAAGGGTTATGTGTCTGGAGTCCTCGCTCGCTTCCTTGCTTTTTGCACAATCTCGTCGTTTAAAGCGGTCAAACCCAAGGAGAAATCCACGTTCTATAAAAGATGCGTGCTGAACACCCCCTAAGAAGATATCGATTTAGCCT